TCTTCTTCTTCTTCTTCTTCTTCTTCTTCTTCTTCTTCTTCTTCTTCCTCTTCCTCTTGATGTTGTTGTTGTTGTTGTTGTTATTATTATTATTATTATTATTATTATTATTATTATTCTATATTCATTAAACATGAAATTCAGTCAACTGAACATTCAAAAATGCATCACAAATACTAGTGACTGATGCTAATGGTTGCTGCCAGCATCCCAAGTATCAACCAAGTACCTTCTTAAGTTGTATGATGTTCCGAGTAGCGCAATTTTTTTGCGGTTCTGCTGGGTGTTATTGCAGGAAGCTGCGATTTCTTAATGTGTTTTGTAAAATTTTTGGACATGGTACCAAGGGCCCCAATGACAATGGGTATCAGTGTGGTATGTTTCATCCATAATCATGTTGTTTCAATGGCCAAATTGCAACATTTCATGATTTTTTTCCACTTGTAGTAGTAGCAGTAGTAGTACTAGTAGTTATTTCTTCAATTCTTGGACTTTTAACTGTTTCCCTTAAAAAACAGAGACTATGCTTTCAGATGGAACATACCAGGTAGAAATCTTTGTCTTGCCATTAACGTGGGATTAATCTAAGTGTACCAAACAATTAAACACAAAGTTTTGCTAAGAGGCCCTTTCAAGATGTAAATACTTGAAGCCACAACTTAGAAGGTTCTTCTGTGGTATGTCTGTAGCCCCTTGTTTGGTTGGTGAAATCTTTCCTAATTTCTAGTTTAATGTGTCTAGTGTAATGAAGAGAAGGACTAGGGATGACATGAGAGCAGTCTTCCAATATTTGAAGAGCTGTCCCACAGAGAAGAGGGAGTCAAGCTATTCTCCAAACAGCACCAGAAGGCAGGACAAGAAGCAACTGATGGAAACTCATCAAGGAGAGAAACAGTTGTGGTATGCTATTGGTTCACACCGGTTCGGCCGAACCAGTAGCAAAAATTGCTACCGGTTTGGCTGAATTGGTAGTATAAAAAAACCCATCCAATGATCAGCTGAGAAGAGAGAAAAAAGCCTTGATCAGCTCATTGGCGCTGCAGGCCTCAGCTGGTGTGTGGAAAGCTGCGGGCGCGATCAGCTCTCGGATCCCACTGCTAGAGAGAAGCAATTGTCACGCCCCTGTCGGAGTCGGAGTCTGAGGAGGAAGGCGGACACCTGACACAGAATGGGAGTGTGGCTCCGTTGGCTGTGGAGGAGGCTGGGGAAGGGCAAAGGCCAGCTGAGCAGAGCAGGGGAGAGGTAGAACAAGGGAGAGGGAGTTCAGAGGAAGACCCAGGCCCACCCCCTCTTCATCCTAGGGCACCCAGGGAGGAATGGAGAAGGGAGCAACATAGGTTGCGTGGCTTACAGGGGAGGAAAGGGCCCTGATTTCCTTCATTTGCTGCAACTGAGAAGACAGTTGATAAAAAAGGCAGGCTGCATGCGGCAGGCTGCTGGGAGCAAACGTGACTTTATCCTGTGTTGTCGTGGCTTATCTGCATTCCTGGCACCTTCCCAACTGTGTGCGTTTTACCATGCTTTCAAGTCTGAAATTCTTGCTCCTGCTCTGCCAAACTAATTACTTCGGTTTGGTTTGTTTGGACTTTAAATGACAGTTTGTGTTGACCATGTTTTGGACTTGATTCTCTGCCGTCAAAGGCTGTTCCTGGGAGAGTTTTTCTCCAGCCTGAAGGTAACCTGGATATTGAGGGCAACATTGGAAATAATAAAGGGACTCTTATTGCTTATCTGACTGTGTTGCCTTTGTGCCAGGCCCCTTTGGGTCATCACAGCAACCTTCTTGGAACTGCTGAAAGAGGGGGTCAAAGAAGCCATCTACATTAAGATTGAACAGACAGGATCAGAATATGACACCACCTATCTCCTGTTTACAACACAATCCTCTCAGCAGTTCCAAGAAGGCTCCACACCCATTTGCACTATTCAGCTGACCCCGAGGGCACAGATAAACCTCCAAGTGGCCTCAACAACTCTCAGGAAGAGCGCTGCCAGGAGTACAAACCCTTTCTATTCTCCACCATTCAGTCAGAACTGAAGAAGCTTCTTGGATGAGAAGTGAAACGTCTTCAGGGACAAAAAAACAAACAAAACCAAAGCCCAGTTGCCTTTTGAAAAAATAAAAAAAAAGGACTTTGGGGGGAAAACTAAGTAAGTATCTTATTTGTTTTTCTTTCAGGACAACATTGCCTTGTTCTTGAGAGGTTGTAGGGAAGTGGGTCTGAAAGAATCTCAGCTGTTCGATCCAGGAGATCTGCAGGAGACCACAAGCCGAACAACGATCAAGTAAGTGAAAATAGAAGAGGGTAGGGTAGAATGGAATAGGAGTGGAGTGTGAAGTGGAGTGTGGAATGGAATGGAATGGAATGGAATAGAATAGAGGAATGGAGTGGAATAGAATAGAGGAATGGAATGGAATCGAATAGAGGAATGGAATGGAGTGGAGTGGAGTGGAGTGGAATGGAATGGAATAGAATAGAGGAATGGA